CATCTAGACCATGATAATCAAACCATGGCTTAGAACAGGAGGATCCTCTTTAAAGAGTGTTTGAAAGTCCTTAGAGTCTTATTTCCTGGCCAAATGCAAACATCTTCCACCTCAGTATCACTCCTAAATAGAGTATGCAACAGCCCCTTCAGACTGATATTGGCACCATAATTAGTGATATGGCAAGAACAACTCAAGGTGGCTGTTCCCTCTACATCTCTTGGTTTCTTCCTCTTATTCATCATCCTCCTCAGTCTCCCCACTGAGCTGAGCTGTTCCTGCTCACCCTTTTCCTCCTCCTCCTCCTCCAATGAAGGAAGGCACTGACAGGGTTAAAGAAGACAAGCAAAGCACACATGGCTTACCAAGTATCACACACCTGCACATCCCTATCTAATGGCCCTTTGCACAGCTGAAGGGAAATAAGATGATGGAAGGAGCGGATGAGAAGCCAGTGACTGGTGCTTCCTCACACTGAGGCAACATTTACCCAAACCCCACAAGACAAGGCCAAGCACCTCCCTAGTCAACAAATCCCTGAATGATGAGACACCAGTCCGTGGGTGAAACATTCCCGTGGAAGCATTTTTCCCACAACCCCTAAGTCTGTCTATACCCAGAAGTTTGCTAGCTTTTTTTTTTTTCTGCTGAGGGGTAATAGGTCAAAAGATAGTCCTAAATGCAAATTCTGTCATTTCAAGTGCAAAATGAAAGCAGTTTCTAGAATACCTTATTTGATAGTTTTAATTCAGAATTCAGCAGAATTTGGGTTACACAGAATGATGTGGTCTGCAAGAGGAAAATCATACAAATAGCTTAGTAATTTATGGACATAAGCAAAAAAAGCTATACTAGGCAGTCCAATGGCCACACTCTGGTTTCCCCTATCACATATAAGGGTATCATCATTTTGCAATCATTTTCTCATTAAAAAAAAAATAATCTTACAGCTGTATTATAGAGCTATGATTACATTTCCCCCCCAAAGATAACCTTACTCTTTGTCCAAAATGCAACAGCAGTGAAGTTTTTTATTTTTAACCTTCTGTTACCCCACACGTATTTTAATGATACATCAAAAAGGAAAAAAGCCCAAAACACAAACACACACCCACCTACAGCACTGCTCCATTTCTAGCCTGAGATGTATTTGTCATTGCTGCATGAACCAGCTAAATTAAAATACATGCTTAACAGTCCTCATGCCTCAAGTAATAATTAGGTCTAAATCAAGAGCAGTAGGACTAAAGACTTATTTTTTCTGCAGAACATCCAGCTGGGAAAAAAATTAGTTATCCCACTTCCTCTGCCTTTGAAGGTACATGCCTCATCATCCCATGAAATGCCAGAGTTAGGCCAGAAGCACGACAAAGCTTTGCAGAAACCACGAGATGGTGCTATTACTATGCTTTAAATATAAAACCCATCACCACTTCTCTTGCAGAACCTGTATTTGCAGTTAAAACTGCCGGAGAGGTATTAAGCATTGTTAAACTTATAAATTGACACGTCAGAAATGTTCACTCATCTTTAAATAGCTCTACCTGTTTTATAATTATGACTTATGTTTTAAATTTTATTTGAAAATAAATATTTGTGATTCATTTCCATTTCTGAAGCATTTCAGTTGTTGACAGTTTTTGCTGTCTCCTGAGGGCAGGAAAATAATCTTTGTACCAATATTGAAACAAATGAGATGGAAAAGATAATTTTCCTCATTCTTTTCTGTCTATTCCAACAGGCACAACAGCAAAACCACTGCTATGTGTCTGAGTGGCCCTACCACTCATGCATGACAAACTTGTAGTGGCTAGTATTTTATTTGCACACATTTCTGGTGCCAGTTGTTAACTGTTGTGCAGAAAGATCTGTCAACTGTTTTCACAGGAGGACACTCCTGAATTGCTTCACTTGTCTCTGAACCAGAGAACTAAGCTGGCATTCCATTTCTGAGATCTTGCTGTGCTAGCCCCCAAACCCATTTCCTTCAAATGCATTTTACTTTCAAGCAACGAATTTTACTTTTCATGATGTAATCTCTTGTTCTTGATGTTCAGGGGATTGTTTTAGAATGATAAGAACATATTCCAGTAAGCAGGTAGAACATCTGTCTTAAGTAGTATCCATCACTTGGCTTTGGTTCATGCATCATAACATCTGCAAGGAATGCCATTTACAATCAATAGATGGGCTGGGGTAACGGGCCACAGGTTTAGGAATCTTTCTCCAATTAATTTTGCTTTAAAATTATAATTTAAAAATTATCATATCTTATCATTTCAAGTGTGTCTTTATTAAAACAATCAACTATTTATCACCTGTGCCACAATGAAGAACAATCAACAGTGGCTGAGCATCCTACAATTCCAACAAGAAGAATGGTCTGAGCCCCCAGTGTAGCACAGGGAGTCTGTCATCAAGCCAGAGTCCTGCGGGCATTTTCTCAGCCTGGAGAAGTGCAGACTCTGGGCAAATTGTTAGACCAGCCCTCCAGTATCCGAAGACAGCCTACTAGAAGGAGGCAGATGAGCTACACAAAGGCACAGAGTGATAGGAAAAGTGTGCATGTCTTTAAAACCTGAAGGGTATATGTTTCCATTGGATATTGGGAAGAAATTTCTTGCCAGGAGGGTTGTGAGACACTGGAACCTGTTGTGAGTGACCCATTCCTGGAAGTGTTCAAGGCCAACTCGAATGGGTCTTTGAGCTTAAGGCAGTCTAGTGGAAGGTTTCCCTGCCAGTGACATGCAGGATGAATTTAGGTGAACCATTCTATTATTCTATGATAATATTCATTCTGTGCAGTAGCAGTAAGTAATTGAAGATCAAAATAACACACTATTGATTCCAAGAAACTGCCATCCAAGGAGTTTAACTGTATTGCTCTCATATATGTGTTCCATTTATCATTACTACATCTACTAACAGTCCTGGCACTTAAATATAATACACACTGTCACGCATAACGAGGTATTCTATTCTGCTACTGGCAAGACTATATACAATCACGAACGGGAACGGGACATCTGAACTAGTGACATGAGCTTTTTATTCAACACATCAGTCTCAGCACATTGTTAGACAATGGAGACAGGATGTTAACAGCTCGCTGATCTACAGGGAATGCTAAGGAGGTGTGGCATTACAGCATAGCATAAAACTATCTCAGCCTAGATTTCAGCCAATCACACATAGAGCAACACATATTGACAAGAATTCTATCTAATCATATGAAACACATGTAATGGTAGTTAAAGCAAAAACTTGTTCATCTGAGACAAAGAACAGACCTCTATTCATGCAAACTTTCTAAAGATATACATTAAATAACCTTGTTGCAATCCATAAGCCAGTTCTACAGAGGTCTATTGTTATTTGTCACGTATGCTCTACTGCTTAGAAAATATTTTTGCTGTATTTGCAATGCTAACAAATCTTCTATCTGAGGCCTACTCTTTTTAACCATTCCCTGAAAGCCCTCTAACTTTATGAATTCCAGCAATTCCCCCTCTCTGTTGACTCAGAAGCTTTCATTTTCTTGTCACCTACTACTTGCGTTTCATAGCCCTATTGTAAAATTTCTGCTTGTTATCTGCTGGAGACTTATTCGCACTGAACTTAAGCATTGCTATATTACAGCACAGCAACTTAATGCTGTGAAGGCCCAGTCCTTGAAAGAGATATGTATCATGTTTCACAATAGTCACAAATCATTGTCCAAAAAACTCTGGTCGATTCCAGGGTCTTAACTCAAAACCTTCGTCCATGTCTATACCTTCATCTACTACCTTCATGAGATTTCGAACACTCTCTGTGCTTCTACTTCTTAACTCTCTTGCTTGTATGACAAAAACTTCTCATGTATGACTGTTTTGTTCATCATTCAATGTACACAACAAAGTATACAGGGTACCACTATCAATATCAATATCAGAACACCTAATACACAAAGACCTATCTTGCAAAGTTGCCTTAGCCAAGGTGCAAAGCTCCATTTTTGAAATAAATCTAGCCAGGAACCTCTATCTTCTTTAATCTGAGCTGTCAGATCTTTCAATTTCTGTATGCTTTTGTGAATGGATTCAGAACAATTAGAAAAATTTATACAACACAATCCTTCAAATTCTTCACAAATATGCCCTTGTGCCAGTAAAAGAAAATCAATGGCTGCTCTGTTTTGAAGAGTAGCATGTCTAACACTATCAGCATCGGTTAACATATCACTAATTGCAGAGGATGTGGCATTGGCTTGTTTGCTCAGCCAGCATCCAACTCGATCTAACTGTTTCAATGCCACTGCTGAAGCTAATTGGGGTAAAAATATACCTGCTGAAACCCTTCTGGCAGCATTCCAAGGCATAAAATCACTCTGACAGTTCTCCTCATAATGAGGGACAGCTCTCGTTCTCCTTTGTTTCTTTTTCATCACTGCTTTGGCAGTGGGGGCAATTATAGTGAGCATGCCAATGCTACAAGGGCTACCTTCAAGGTGAGCTGGAATGCCTTGCCAAGCTCTGTCTCCGCACATGAACCAATACCCTTTCGGCAATTGCCGTGGGTATTGATCATTCTCAGGAAGCACATCCAACTGTTTGAAACATTACACCAAAAACTCAAATTCCTATATGCAAAATAATGAGGGGTAACATTGTACTTTGGAGGATCACCTTTTCGCAAGGCACGAGCTATGATAGCAAAACAAAAATCCATGGTCAAAGAACCAAGGATTTCTAATTCTTGAGGTTCAGATGCTGCCCTGAGAAGTGTTTTGGACCAAACGTTCCAATTCAATGAGGGATTGTTTCCATTGTCAATTCCACCTGGCCTACCATTGGATTGTTTTTTGAGCAAAGGCAACTCTTTCACTGGCACACCAACCAGACAGGTTGAAAAAGGCTTTTCTGGTTCCGAGTTAGACAAACATATAGTATCCGAGCCAGCAGCCTTGGCTAAGGTCACCCAAACATTTGTTTTCGTTTGTTCCACAGGCAAAGCTGCCTCCTGTCCCTCGCTCCCATTTTGCCCACTCTGAACTCCTGGAGCCGCCTGCCCGCGGAGCCGCAGCCGCCGTGGGGCCGGGCAATGGTGCAGGGAATGCTGGCAGGGATTCTTGGGCTGGGCTGGGCCAGGCCAGGTGCCTGCGGCCAGCAAAAGCGCTCTGAGCCTCTGCTCCTGCCCCTGGGTATTGGAATAGGAATCCCAATATTACCAGTTATATTGTGCCTGGGCCAGTCTGACCCTCGCTGCTGGGCCAAAGGCAGCAACTGCGGTGTAATCACCCCAGAGATACCTTGGCTTGCTGGAGGTTGCAGCTGGGCACTGAACAAGTCCAGGCTTGTCAGGAACTCCATTTACCTCAGGACGAAGGCTTCAGGCGAATGGTGAAGAGAAAAGGAGAGGATTCTGCTGGAGGGTTTGATGTCCAGAAGTTTATTCCATGGTTACAGAAGTCTGAACGTGGGCAACTGCTCCAACAGAATTTTGACCACATGGCTCGATTCACCTTTTAAGCTCAGGGACAGGGGAAGGGGAGGGGACAGATGAGCAACAACCAGGTGAGAGGGGCTGGGTCTCAGGGGAAGATGACACCCAGACAGGCCAATGACCCCTGGGCCTGAGGGGCATCCTTTGAACTTGACCAACCACACGACGCCTTGCTGGAATGTTAAGCCTGATTGACAGGACTCACTCAGCAAGGGGGCAAGGGGGAAGGGACAGAGGTATAGGCACACCTGGGGAAGTGACCCAGAAGTCTAAAATGGGACATTACAGCACACCGCAACACCTGGGCAGGCAACAGAACACAGCAGGAAAGGCTCGGGGCTCTCAAGAAAGGCAGCCAGACATCTCTCACCCATCATGGGCAGAAGAGGCCCAGACTGGGGAAATTAAATTTCATTGAATTTATTATCAAACAAATCAGAGCAAGAGAATCAGATGTTCCCCAAATCCTAAAAATGCACCTTCTCCACACTGTTCTCTCCTTCCTGGGCTTCGCTTTGTCCCCAGTTCCCCCCTCCCTCCTCCCCACACAGTGGCACAGAGGCATGGGGGTTACAGTCACGTCATGTCACTGCTTCTCCCTGCGAGAGACAAATTCCTTGTCCTGCTCCAGCCTGGGGTTCCTCCCAGAGGAAGACAGTCAGATCCTTCACAGCAGACAGACAGATAAAGAGACAACAGACTATTCTGCACAGTCAGGTGCCTGATGCCAAAAGTGGGATTCTTGCTCAGCACATGTCAGCGGTTCTTCCTCCTCTTCCAAAGACAGTTGACAAGTGCCACGTTCTGGCCACTTTGTGATGATTCCCGAGAGGCCAGGAAGATTTGGATTTCCCACTGGAGCTTGTTGTGTCATGAGGGCAATGCACTCACTGCAGGCAGCATCGGTGGCAGGATGGATTGCAGAGACTTTTCCTTTGCAGCCCCAGCCCAGCGCTGGCACTGGGGATGCAGAGGCACTGAGGTGACCCTGAGAGGAAGTGCCAGGCACAGGGCGCAGCTGAGGAAGGACAGCGCTGTGCTGGGCTCAGAGGTGAAGCTGGCATTGCCCAGCGTGGAGAAGGTCCTTTGTGCAGCCCCTGTTACAGGGGAGCTTGGGCCTTGCTGCAGACATACGGCCGCTCACTTGAGCACATCTCACTCCTGAATCTTTTCCCTTCAGCCAAGTACACACACTCAGAATTGCCGAGGACAGGAACCCTGCAGGGAGGAGCAGAGGCAGCGCTGGCTGCCAGGGGAAGCCCTTGTGCCCCTGTGCCCCCAGGCCCTGCCCGGCTCCCCGGCACTCACCGGGAGCTGTAGCTGCTGCCGTCCCCCCAGTGCAGGCGCTCGCCCCGTCTGCGCAGCCCGAGCCAGAAATCGCCGTTCCCGCGGAGGCGGAAGAGCAAATCCTGCCCAGGAGAGAGGAGTGGGAGCTGCCCCGGCCCCTCGGGGGGACACGTGCCCGGCGCTGCCCCCGCACGCCGGGGCTCCTTCCCTGCAAGGCCCCGGCCCAGGGCTGCAGCCCCGGCCCTGCGAGCACCGAGCCCGGCCCAGGAGCGCCCCCAGGCTGCCCTCAGCCACCCCACACCGCCCGCAGCCCCTCACTCACCATGGCCTCCTCATCCTTGGCAATGGCCAGGGAGGCATTGAGCTCGGAGCACCGTTCCTGACCCTGCTCCCACGTGCTGTTATCCAGTGAGAAGTAGTAGCAGACCCCGTTGAACCCGACCCAGCCAGTGGGACAGCACTGCAGGGTCGCAGGTGCGACGGGAAGCTGTGGTGCTGCAGGGGGAAGAGGAGAAGCTCTGAGGATTCCCCTGTGCAGGGAGCAGGGAGCCCGCTCTGCCCCGAGGGGCTGGGCCCACGCTGCTGCCCCTCCCTTACCTGCCAGCACAGCCAAGGCCACCCCTAAAGCCAGCGCCAGCAGCAAGAGCAGCATCAGAAGATCGATGAGTACGCGATGGCACCTGAACCGTTCACCTGGAGCAGGGAAGAGCTGCTGGCTGCCAGAAGCAGAGCCGGCCCTGCAATCTGCTCAGCCCATGGCCAGGGAGCAGAGCAGGGAGCCCTGAGGCAGTGTGGGCCTCCCTCAGCTGGCAGCCAGAGAGCCAAGAGCCTGGCCACAGGCAGGGACACAGCTGTGGGCACAGGCAGGGACACAGCTGTGGGCACAGGCTGCAGCAGGAGAACTGCACAGCCTTGGGGGCAGCTGGGGCTCTTGCTTCCAGCCACGGATGGGGCCCAGCAGAGCACGAGGCCTCTTCCAGACATCGGGAAACAGCCACACACCTGCCAGCCCTGGCCTTGGGAGGGGACACGGGCCCCTGCCTAGAGGCCACAGGGGTGGCCCTGTACTCACCCAGGAATCTTCTGAGGTTCCTTCTGTGTTCATTGCCCGTTGCTGCTGTGCCCTGGGGAGCCAGGGGCTCCCTCACACTCCCATCCCTGGTGCAGAATCCATTCTCCACATCTGCACTCAAGGCACGCTCACAAGTGACATCCCCCTGCTGATGCCAAGAGGCTTCTTGGGCCCCAGGCAAGTGTGGAAGCGCGGCTGCTGGGCCCTCCTGGAGATGCCGGGGCTCGTTTGCCGTTCCAGGAATGGAGTAGAATTCACTATTCTCCTGCTCACAGCCGCCATCTGTCTCTCCGGAAGAAACAGCACCTTTCTCCTGACACATCTGGAGTGGTGACAGCTCCTTTGGGAGCTCGGCCTCGGGAACAGTTTTCCAGGCGCGCTGATGGCACCCTGAAAAGGACACGAGAGAGGTCGCTGCTGGTGCCGGCCGTGCTGAGACCCCAATGCTCAGCAGGGCAGTGCCAGCTCTTGGGCGCTGCCGCGGCACCGGCTCCATCCCGGCCATCCGGGCACGGAGGAGAGCGCGGGCAGCCGTTCCCTCGGCTGCAATCCCAGCGCAGGGGGCACACGGGGGAAGCCGGCACCAGGAACTCGCCAGAACCCCCCGGCCCTCACCGCGGCCCCTCCGCCCGCAGCGAGCCCCGAGCTGGGGCAGCACCGACCGCGGTCCCACCTGGGCTGGAGCCGCCTCCGAGCTCCGCCGCCGCTCCGCTCCCGTCCCGGGCAGACACAGCGGGCACGGCCGCTGCTGCAGTTTAAAACCGATATTCGTGTGGGAGGGATTATGGTTGTTTTGATCAATCAGCGTGCGGGGCAAGTAGCGAGGAACGGGGAGGAGGGGAAGAGTTCATCGGTCAGGTCAGCTCCGATCCCTTTCCCGTAAAAGCTGTGGTTTAAAAGAACCTCAGCTCCGTGGGGAGGCGCTTCTGGGGCTCTCAACTGTGAATTCTCGCAGGGATTCTTCGGGTGTGCTGGGCCAAGTCAGGTGCCCGGTGCCAGCAAAACCGCTTTGTTCCTCTGCTCCTGCCCCTGGGCAGGCAACAGAACACAGCAGGAAAGGCTCGAGGATCGGGAAAAGGCCAGGCAGAGATCTCTCACCGGTCACTGGTGTAAAGGGACACGACTGGGGGGAATTCTTTGAATTTATTATGGCACAAATCATGGCAAGAGAACGAGCGGTGAAGCAGCCGGGTTCAGCCTCGGAACCAGGACTGTGCCCTCGGCCCCGGCAGCCGCCCCAGGGGGATAAAGGATGCCCGGGCCGAGCAGCGGCTCTGCCCCAGCACGGGGATGTGTCCGGAGCCCCCGCTCCGGGCCGGGCTCGCAGGGCCGAGCGCGGAGCAGGCGCTGAGCTGCTCCTGGAGCTCCCAGCGCTGCTGGATCCGGCGGGCGCGGCACAGGCACTGCCGGGGGCATCGCTCGGTGCCTGGCGGCGTTTGCCGTCCCCAGGGAGAAACTGAGCCCGGCCCGCAGCGCCAGCTCATCCCCACCCTTCTATTGCAATTGCTCCATGGTTAAACCAAGGGGAAACTCCCTCTTGTGGCCAGTTCAAAGCCTGGAATCAAGGAGAGAACGGAGGATCCCTCTCAATTTAGATCCCTAAATGATTGTGAAAAATACGGTTTCTTTTCTTAGTAAAATTTAAAAGTTTAATAAAGGACAATAGGAGACAAATATAGTAAAGGAAAAATTACGGTCAGGTGCGTCTTGGCACTCATCCAGGTGCACACGCTCTTTTTGGAAACACTTTTAAAATACTGTTTCTTTGCATCATCTGTTCTAGATTTAGACTTTAAAAAAAACTAGTTTGCATGTTTTTAAAAGTGTTTAGCTTGGGTCTTCTTTGGGTCTGCCTTTTTAGAGCATGTATATTTGTTGGTTCTGCTTTTAGTCTATTCTTATCTTTATTTTTTAGTTATTGGGCTTTTTACAGAATATGAGTGCTGATAGTTGGAATATTAGTAGCAGGTCTTCATCATGCGTTTTTGGGACATTATCCCAACCAAGCAGGCATTTTAACACAAGCATATTTGTATCAGCTACTTTTAAGTTTAAGTTAACAACAGAAATTAAAATAATATTTCTATAACAAACTTATTTTAACACTACGCATATAAAATCCATTTTCATATTTGCAAAAAGCTAGTACTGTAATATATATCTATGACATGGTGCATAAGGAGGATCCCCCCTCAACTGAATCCTGAAAAAGCGAATCAAGGAGGATTCTCCTCAATTTGGCCTCCTAAAATGTGTGGAAATGCAGTTTCCCTCTTCAATTTTCCTCCACAAAGACCATTCTGGGGGCTTTTGCACATCTTTTTCATCTGTGAAGGTCCCTTGAAATGGAGTCTCCCCCTCGATGGAACTCTTACAGTGGCACATCAAGAGGTTCCTCTCAAGGGAAGCCCTTTCAGACCAGGGACAGCCATGTTTGCTCTCAGTTTGAGCCTGAAAATGATGAAAATGTCGAGGTGCTTTACCTCACTTCAAAATGCACCATAAAAATTTTCTCCTTCCATTTCAACATGAAAATCGTGGAAAACAGTGATTACCTGCCAAGAGAGGCACCCAAAATGATGACAAAGCTGTGTTTTCCTTCAATTGAGACCCTTCAGATCGCAGTTGAATGGGGATCCCCTCAGTTCAAACACAATTACAGAAAAGCTTTCCCCCCTCCATTTCAATCCCAGTTTTGGGGGCACTGGGGAGGGACTGGGGGCACTTCCCGCTCCTCACTGCTCACCCCTGGCGCTGCTGCCCCTCGCACAGTGCTGAGCAGTTCCCTCCCAGTTCCCTGCCAGTTTCCCTCTTGCTGGCGAGCCCCGGCAGGGATGGGGAGAGCGCTGGGCAGGAGCTGGGAGCGCTGTTCCTTCCCAGGGCTCCTGATATCCCTGCCAGTGCTCCTTCCTGCTCACTCCCGCTGCTCCCACTCTCCCTCCCAGCTCCCTCCGGGCATTCCCTGTGCTCCCAGTTCCCTCCCGGTGTTCCAGGATCTCTCCCAGTGCTGCCAGCGGCAAAGCCCTGGGGGCACAGCGTGCTCTGCTCTTGCAGAGGCGAGACTGGAGCTGTCAGGAGAGCAAACCCGGCTGGGAAAGCGTTCCCTGCACAGGAAGGTGTCTCCCCGCTCTGACCACAGAGGGAGCTCAGCCTCCGCTCTTGACTCCAAACCCTTGGAGCTCCGAGCCCGACTGCCCGAAATTGGCTCGGCCCCACTGCCCAGCGCCCTGCTCAGAGCTCACACGGCTGAGGGGGCAGCGCAGATTGAATAATGAACGCTGCTGGGCACGGCTTTAGCTCTGAACTACACACTGTCACACGGGAACAAAACCCCTAACGAGGATGGGTTCCTCTTGCTGGCACAAGGAGAGAAGCAGAAATCTGACAGGAATATTCTTCATCATTCTGCCCAGGCTCTGTCAAACCCTCCAGCTCCCGCACCTCGGGAAATAACAAGTGGTTTCTAAGCAGTGACTTTGATGTCAGTGAGCAGGTTATTATGGATTAATCTGGCACTGGAAAGCAGCCTTCACACCCTACAGCTCTTGCAATCACCCAAAGAGTTTGGAGGCTGCTGCCCAGGGAGCTCCTGAGTTGTATCTTCCTTGTCAATCTTATCAGCCCCTTGTTTAATTGTAAAAACATAAATAAAATGCAGGGAGCATTGGCCCAGGATCTCAGGACTTGCATATCTCTTCCAAATAAAGGAAAAAAGAGTGTTTCACCCAACCCACAGAGATTAAAAGTTCATATTATCTACATATATTTTGAAAAGGGTAAGAGTGAGAGTAAACGATGAATTGCTGAGCCAGTGGTGCTCTAGCCTATTTCTGTTCACTTCTTTCACTTGTAGCATCTCTAAGAATAATTTTTAAAACCAAAACAAACTAACTAACGACAACAAAAAAAAATTAATCCAAGCTGAATGAGAAGCAATGTGGCTGCAGGCTTGTGGCACTCCACTGCCTGGGTTCCAGTAAGGGAGCTCATCCCCTCTGCACTTCCAAGCCAGATCCCAAAGTCCTGAGTGAGCATCAGCTTTCAGCTTTTTGAACACTGAACTGTAAGCAAAGCTGCTGGGGAGGGCCGTGCTC